GGAAGCAAATTTGCATTTTACATGTGAAACAAGCTGATACAACTAAATATTTCCTCTCTCGCTCCCTCTCACTGATTTACCCATTGCCCTCTTTCTCATTTTACCCTCTCTGGTTTTCCTTTTCAGTTTTTTTCTCTCTCTCTCGCTCTCGCTCTCTCTCTCTCTCTCTCTCTCTCTCTCTCTCCCTCTCTCTCTCTCGCTCTCGCTCTCGCTCTCTCTCTCTCTTCGCTCTCCCTCTCTCTCTCTCTCTATTTCTCTCTCTCCCTCTCTCTCTCTCTCTTTCTCTCTCTCCCTCTCTCTCTCTTTCTTCCTCTCTCTTTCTCTTTCTCTCTCTTTCTCTCTCTCCCTCTCTCTCCTCCCTCTCTTTCTCTCTCTCTCCTCTCTCTCTCCCTCTCCATCTCCCTCTCTCTCTCTCTCTCTCTCGCTCTCTTTCCTCACAATATTCTCGGCTGTCACAGCGTTGTAGGACTTGTTTCAAGACAGGTCCAGGCGCTCCCCACTCCGCAGGCCCCAGCCCACACGGCCCAACCGCTCAAACACCCTCCGGCGGATGACCTCTGACCTCGGCGACCTGACCCCAGCCGACCGATCGCGTCCCTCTCCACGCCTCCGCCCCGCTTCCCCCACTACAGCTGCGTAGTAGTTGTAGCGTGTGCAAAGGTCACGTGACATTATTTACTTCTGCGGCTTGTTCGGCTGACAAGAGATGGCACTAGTGGTCTGTGGATCAGAGGCGGGGCTAGGTTCTACGACTTCTTGGGGCACACTTTAGGGCAGAAAAGAGGTTTTTTGGCTCCCCATCCCAAAATGCTTCGAATATACAAAAACAAGTTAGATATTCGAAAATCGGAGGACCAAACGGATCGTTTGACGTATCTTGCGCGACTGACAGTTGATCGGTCTTCAAACTACTGAACAAAAACGAGGTGATTAGTAGCAAGTGCTGGTGACTGTACGTACCCCACCCATGGGGTAAGTTGATCAATGTGTAATACCTTTCTTATCTATTTAATGAGCATTTGTTACAAGGCATAGCAAAATTTCTCGATGAGTAAATGGGCGAAATGGACAAAGCTATATTATTTGGTATAAGAATTTATCATGAGTTCCCTGTAGTATGGCAACAGAGCAGCAATAAAGAAAAAGTGGCTCAACTTACACTACTATACCCTACTTCTAGCATACGTACTTTATACACTACGTACTTTGGCATACGTGCGTACGTACTAGAGTTGCAAAGTTTTCCCAATGGGCTGCTACCGGCACCGCCCCGCCCCACAAAAATTTTCTGGGATACCGGCATGCTACCACGCCCCAAGCAAAAAAAACCGCCAAATTACCGGCATACCGGTAATTTGGCGGTAATTTTAATACGGCATATGGAACTTTTACCACAAAATGTATTTTGCAGTGGCTAAGACTGCTGTTATTACAATTCAATAGCCTCTTAGTGTCCAAAGTTTGAATCATATGCTGATAATTTTTTTGTGTGCAAAATCAAAAATACCGGCATGCTACCGGCAAGACATGCCAGATACCACGAAAAAACCTGCGGTAGTGAAAAATTACCGGCATGCCGGTAGTGCGGTATGGAAATTTTGCAACTCTAGTACGTACTTTTGGCATACGTACTTCTTACACTACGTACTTCTGCGTACGAACATTTGCGTACGTATTTTTGGGATACGTACTTTGTACACCACGTACTTTTGCATACGTACTTTTGCGTACGAACATTTGCGTACGTACTTTTGGCATACGTACTTTATACACTACGTAGGTACTTTTGCATATGAACTTTTGCTTACGAACATTTGCGTACGTACTTTTTGGCATACGTACATTTTACACTACGCAGTTTTGCCTACGTACTTTTGCGTACGAACATTTGCGTACGTACTTTTGGCATGCGTACTTTATGCACTACGTACTTTTTCATGCGCACTTTTGCGTACGAACATTTGCGTACGTACTTTTGACATACGTACTTTATGCACTAGGGGAGACCCGGGAGGCATAGGCCGGTTTTGTGAAAAGACAATTTTCTTCCAGTGGGCAGTGGCTAGACCCGGTTTTTCACTCTGTGTACGTGAAATTGCCTTTCGCTTGCAACGTGTGCCTGATATTAGGCATCGGGGATCAACTACTTTGTCTCGAAATAACTTTCAATACATCATGTGCTTTTTCGATCCATCAAAATACACCGGGAGGTATGGGCCATGGCTCGGGAGGTATGGGCCGGCGCCATGTTTCATATTCTTTTCTCGATAATGAGAACAATATTCGTTGCTGTTATCTACCTTGATCTCTCTTAGAGCCCAGGGACCGCATAAGCGGCCAACAGCTTACTTCATGAAGGTCACTTGGGCACATATGTATTTTGGTTAACTCAATCATGCACCATGAAATAAGATCAATAATATTTTTTCTGTTCGAATGAAATTTGAAACTAAATTTTCGACCTTGCGCGACAAAACTAAAACCTATTGACTGGGACATTCAATGAAAGCATGTTTTTATTTATTTAGGATCAACGGGGTGGGTGGCCCGAACCTCCCGGTTAGGACGCCAGAATGTGCGTAGCATCTCAGGTCATAATCTTGCAAGAAAGCTTCAAATTGTCTATCCAGTCATAATTTCCATACTTTAAACTTTATGTTAGCGATGGTCTGACATCATAAAACGAGCCTGGTTCAAATTTATCATGAATGTTCTGTATGTACCGTATTTAACTCGAAGAGGGCAAAAACAGTTTATCACCGCTCATTGCCAAAGAAGATTGAGGAAGATTTTGAAAATCACGTGGGTTGTATAATGGATGGCTGCTACCAGTTAACGCCGTCAAATGTGTAAAAAACACGCATCACTTCTTCAAAACTGCGATGGCCCATACCTCCCGGGTCTCCCCTACGTACTTTTGCGTACGAACATTTGCGTACGTACTTTTGGCATACGAACTTTATCGCCTACGTATATTTGCGTACGAACATTTGCATACGTACTTTTGTCCTACGTACTTCAGCGATACGTACTTTAGTCCTAAAATCCATTGGAGTCCAGCACTCTACCAACCGAGCTAACAAGGACCCTGACGCTGCCGCTCTTAATAAGCTTCGATACTCTGCACAGGTCGGTGACATAGTCTGATGCGTTTTATGGCGTTTTACGGCGAGGTGGCTGGGAGCAAATTTGGTGTGAAATGAAGGTAATATACCACGTTTCTTTGCAAAATTTTCAGAATAAGTGGGAGGGCAAAAGCAAGACAATACGCTGGAATGGGTTTTCCAACGGCGACATGCACTTTTTATGATCGGCGATTGCGGCCTTGTGTCGGCCGTGTGAGCTGACGTCACGCGCACAGTCATCGCCACCTCTGGAGCGGCTGACGACATAGTCGAGGGCCGAGTTTGACTACTTGGGGGGGGGGGGGGGGGGTGCCAATGCGATTAGAAATGTGTCTATACGCAAGCCACGGCCGAGAGCTGTCGATTGATGGTTGAATCATGCCTGTAGGTGGTGTGTGTCGACCGTGGGAGGGGACAAACTGAAACCCTTCACTTATTATTGATTTTTGATTACTTTTTTGATATTAGGGGGTCGAAATCGGAAAATTCCAAAAATACGAGATTGCAGTTTTATAACCCTGTTAATTATACACATTTTATGTCTTGAACAATTTTTCTCTATCTTCAAAGCTGTAGGGCTAAGAGCTCTTCCCGCGAAACTTTTTTGGGGGGTCGAAAATGGCAGAACATGACGTCATTTGCGGCCAACCTATCACAGCCTCTGGCATTTTCTGTCACAGTGTGAAAATTGATGGCCGGAGGGATCCTAAAAGTTTGGTGACGATAGGAGATTTAGGAGATATCGTCGTTTAGGAGATATCGTCGGAAAAGGACAGTGGGAGGGGTCGTTTCGCTTCGCCCCCTCCCCTCCCTACGGAGCGCGGGTTAAGCGTGTGAGACAGCTGGTGTTGAATGATCTAAGGCACGGATCATAGAAGTGTGAAGATATCCGCGCCGCTAGATGGCAGCCCGCTCCGCGGGTACACCGATAACAATGGGCAGCGGGGGGAGTTGCCTATCCGTTCTATGATCCGTGTCTAAGGTAAGTGGTGGGAATGATAGAAGGGGGGCTTGCAATGATAAGGGGTTAAGATTGCACCGCCTTGCTGCAGCACTGGGGGTGCGGAGAGTTGAGAGCTGCTGCTGCTGCATGGGAACTGGGAAGGGAATGGCCAAGGCCATGACAACCCGCTACCGGACGACGTATGTACCTAAAGTCAATGGGAGACAATTGAAATGCCTTTCTTTTGACCTAAAACACCCTCAAACATAGGGACACTGACACACTGAACCGACAATAGCTTTTTTTTTGACAATAGCTTTAGATAGAAATATGCTAGAGCGCTGTAAACACCATGCATGTGTTCAGCTCAACAATACAAATCGAATGGCGTGCAATATGAACTTTTCTGTGACCTTGATATGAGGTCAAATTTATAACCCTCGCACTTATAGGGGGCGGGGTCGAGGAGACCCCTCACCTTGTTTTTTGCGAATAAGTCACGCAAAAGTGGCCGATCGCGACGAAACGTTCAGTACCCTTGAGGACTAAATTTTACTCCAACCCTAGAAAATTCATGAACTTGACTCTAATGACCTTTGACATGTGACTGATTTCTCGAGACCATGTTTGGCCTGAATCGCGATTTTGCGTGTCAGCTCACATTATCCGCGCGTTTGCAGTATTTTTATGGTTTCAAGCATCACCTCTGTGATGCTTGAAACCAGCCTCTGTCATTTCCATATAGGTGGTATAAATGTGTAGGTACTATTTTTTTAGATAGAAATAGGGAGAGAGAGAGAGAGAGAGAGAGAGAGAGAGAGAGAGAGAGAGAGAGAGAGAGAGAGAGAGAGAGAGAGAGAGAGAGAGAGAGAGAGAGAGAGAGAGAGGCGAGGGAAGCAGCGGTCAATGTGCCGCGGCCACGGCCGGCTCACCGATGGTGGAGACGACAGTGCAGCAGAAGTGGAAGCTGCCGGCTAGGTCCCACTGGGCGCGGTGGTGCAGCAGCCCCAGGCGGTCGGCCGTCAGGTGGGCCGCCAGCAGCCGCTCCACATCAGACAGGCTCGGCGAGCCGCCTGCCGTCAGGTTCCGCCGAAACTGCTCGTAGAGGCTGCGGTAGGCGCGCTGGGCGTTCAGCTCGTGGTCGCGCTCTGCCCACTGGAAGAGCGCGGCGCCCGCCAACAGGTAGAGCAGCAGCGCCGCTCCAAGCAGCACGAATCGACTGTTGTCCTCGTTGAGCCGCAACCGGCCGCAGCAGCCGGCAGAGCGAGCTCCGGCCGCCGGCGCGTGCATGCTGGCCGCGCGGACGACGGCCGGCCGGCCGGCCAGCGAGGCCGGCCGCTCGAGCTCGGTCAGCGGCCGCGCGGCCGGCACCCGGTACGGCGAGCGGAGCGGCGCGCGGCTCCAACCGGCCAGCCAGCGTGGCGACCTGCAGCCGCCCAGCCGGCCCGCTGTGGTTTGGAGCGCCGCGCAGTCGGTCTCCACGTCGGGCAGCGCGTCCTCACCACCTGGTTTGGGCCGGTGCGCCGCCGTCTCGCCGGCTGCGGTGAGAGCTCGCTGGCCAGGCAGCCGCCGCGGAGGGAGGCGGCGTCACTGCCAGCTCGCCGTCCACCGCGGCGGGGCAGTACGAGCCGCCTGTTGCTCGCTGAGCCGAGTGGTCGGCCGTTCAGGGCGCGATGCCGTGCGCCGATCAATCAGTGGCGCCCACCGCTATCCGCCGGTGCCCAATGACGGACGACCGCTATTAATAGCGCAACCATCGACCTGCCGTGCCACGCTGTGTTGAAGCGAGTCCCCTGGTCGCCAGGCCAACAGATGGCCGCAGCCTCCGGGCCGCCGCATCGCTCCCGAGACACCGACCGGAGCGCCTCCCACATGCCGCGCCCGAGCCACTCCGAGACAGGGTGTGAGCCGGGCCCGAGCCACTCCGAGACAGGGTGAGCCGGGCCTGAGCCCTCCGACAGGCCGGGCCTGAGCCCTCCGACAGGCCGGGCCTGAGCCCTCCGACAGGCCGGGCCTGAGCCTTCCGACAGGCCGGGCCTGAAAGCCTCCGACAGGCCGCGCCGCGGCTGCTTGATGGACCGAACTAATAGTATTCTTCACATGCATCCTGCACATTTAGTACATGTATTTCTGGTTCTAATTCCGATTAAAGTCTTAAAAATAAAAATAAAATGCGACGCCCAGCTTTTGAATAGCACTTGGCCAGGGCATATTCTATAACCCAATTGACTGAGGTCTTCAGAGAAGACCCATCTCCAAAACTAATGGTCCGATTGTCCAAATAGTTAAAAAGTCTCTCGGGCTTCTCATTCGCTCATTTCAAACCGGATCTAAAAAAGCCAAATTCAATACGAAATCTCTGTTGGCTGCGTACTGCGCAAACGTACGTTCTGTCCTTGAGTTCGGAACGGTCATTTGGGCAGGCGCAGCCACTTCCCACACAGTTCGCGTCGATCGGATTCAGCACAAGTTTCTCCTCTGGTTAATCCACCACTGCAACAATCCTTGCCCATCACTTACCTATCCAGATTTATCCAAGCATTTCCGTGTCCCGTTCCTTTCCTCTCGAAGAGCCCAACACGACCTCCTGTTCCTAAAGGGTCTGTTCTCTGAGAAACTGAACTCTGAGATACTCTTATCCCGATTCCCCTTACGCGTGCCTATCCGACCGACGCGCACTGCAGCACTGTTTGCTGAGAGTCGCGCCCGAATCAGCACGGTCCAGAACGGGTTGGCCTGTCGTGTCGCGAGAGGACAAACTCATTCCTCGCTCATTCCAAAGACGACTTTTTCACGGCCAGCTTTTTTGCGTACATAGCTCATGTCATCAAATACGTTGCGAACTTACCACCACCTCCGGGCTACTAGTCACTGTTGGTAGGTGATTCTTATTGATTTTACATTTTTATGATTTTAAATGTCTGTTTTTAATGTTTCCTTATATTTTTCATTTCACTTTATACATTTTTACGTGTTTTTAAAGTACCTACACATCGTTTATCTCTCAGTGTTCATATTTACTGTTTGTTCAGTTATTCTGGTTTACCTTGTATCATGATTTCTTTCCCACCTTACATGGGATTTTAAAACTCATGCTCAGTGGTCGTTCACACATTTTTTCTTCATATTTTCACTTCATTGCCTATTTCCTTGTATTGTTCATTGTTTTCTATTTTAGTTACATGTGTATCTGCGTTTTTTATCCGGGCGTGTGTATGCTGCCTGTGTGTGCCATATTTATTGTTTTTAATCTTGTGACTCCGTCTTTTAGTGGGTCAGGTGCCTGTTGACGGTCTGTTGAATAAATACAAAAAAAAAATACAAATACAAAGATACCAAGAGTAGGGCAGGGGGCGTCGAAGTCTAGTTCCTACCAACCTGGCACTCCCATGCCTACGTCACCACGAGGACGCCCGAGGGCATTTACATGTTGAAGATAGGGAAATTGCCATAGTTTAGAGCTGCCTGAAGGGCAGCCTTGAGATTAATGATAATGTAAATGTGTGCAAATATGATCATCAACATGTTATTTATCCAAATCAAGGGCCAATTAATGGATAACTTGTCACGTTTTCCAGTGGTGATGCGCTAACTTTCGTGGTTCTTGCAGCCAATAAGGGTGTTTCATAGTGCGATTCAGCCGTATTATCGACTTTAATGCCATAAACCGCCACGGAACATACGATTTGCAGCTTCCTGGCGTGATAGCTGCCAGTAGGGCTCCGGAGTCGGAGTCATGAAGTCGGTCGGAATTGACAGTTCTGACCTGACTCGTCGAGTCAGAGTCAGAGTCGATTTTTAAAGCTGGAATCTGAGTCGGTCACCGAAATTCGATCCCCTCCGCAGACCTTTCAGGGTTCCGTAGTCGGAGTTGTAGTCGGTCGGAGTCGGCAGTTCTGACCTGAGTCGTCGAGTCAGAGTCAGAGTCGATTTTAAAAGCTGGAGTCTGAGTCAGTCACCGAAATTCGATCCCCTCCGCAGACATTTCAGGGTTCCGTAGTCTGGAGTTGTAGTCGATTGGAGTCGACAGTTCTGACCAGAGTCAGAGTCAGAGTCGATTTTGAAAGCCAGAGTCGGAGTCGGAGTCACCAAAAATCCATTGCCTCCGCAGACCTGCTAGGGCTGTGAAGTGTGGAGTCGGAGTCGGTCAGAGCCGACCTTTGAAATCAGTCAGTTGATTTTTGAAAGTCTGAGTCAGAGTCGGAGTCATCAAGAAACCCATTGACGATCCGCAGTACCATGCGGTAAGGGCGCTGCCGATCGATGCCCTGAATTGCCTATGAATTGAATGAATAGATGACAATTAAAGGTAGGTACCTTCTATTATTCATCCCCTGCCACTTGGAGGACTTACTTTTAGTAGAAAAAGACGCATTATTGTTTGTTTGTTTGTTTATTTATTGACAAATATTTTTTTTTTAGCAGTTTATAAGGATACAGACACAAAACACAATGATAGCACCTCGCTGGTGCAAATCATTGCTAGATAGATGTTGAAATGTGTTGCCATTGAAGAATCTACTGATTTTCCTGGCGACTCTCATTTTCAACGTTAGGCGGCACGGGCGGACATCGATAGCAGCGCCTCTATCGGTCACTAGGGAAAGCTGGGCTGTAGGCGACGAAATACCGGCTGAGTTGTCACAAGTTAAATAGGTTTATAGACATCCGTCTTGTGAAAAAGTTGAACTTTTGCCTTCAATATTTCTACAGGCAATTTTAGAAGAGCCTTCACATAGATTACAAAACCGTTTAAATTATTTTATTCACTTCAAGCCTTCCCTATTGTTCTTGATGATGCGGGAACTATTTCTAATTAGTGCTTCTAGCTTAGTAAAAGAACATATTGTGCAAACGACGAAAAAAGCATAAATGGAAGATTTTGAATGCAATTTTCTGTAACAAATAATGGTAAATTCTCTACACATCAAGGAAAAGGTGCATGCTAACTGATAATTTAAAGTTCTTGGGGCCAGTTGGTTTCTTCTTTTCTTACGTCGCCCCAATGGCCGCGAATACACTTGTGATAACGCCTATCGAGTAACTACTGGTCTTGTAAGATCACTTGATTGCTCACCGTCTGGCGTCTTCCAAGGTTTTCTGAAAGCTAATCAAACGTTACCATGGCTGCTCTTGATTACATGGCGCTTGCTGGTTCTGGGTTCTTAATTGGTGGTTCTTGCGTCTGATCCTGGTGCTTCATGCTCCATCACATCACATTGAATTTATAATCTAATGGAACAGACACTTTTACCTTTTATTTCACTATCAGTCGACTTGCATTTACCCCTGTGGCCTGCTCGCCCTTTTATTTCCACGCTAGAATCTACCAATTATTGAAAAAGCCTCGGATAAAAAAGCAAGAAAATTATGTCAAGTTAAATAATTGAGACGGTCCTAGAACACCAGAAAAAAATTCAAAAAGCCTGTCCATCTCACTTCCCTCACTTTATAACAAAAACCAGGCAGCAAAACATGCGAAAGAGTCCTTAGCAACGCCCTAGCAACGCATTTGTCTGAAGTGCGCAATATGTGTCACATCTGGAAAATTTAGTAGCTACTTGATTATTCAACTAGAGTTGGACTATATAAGCTAGGCTTTTATATAAGAAATAAGTATTTGCTTATTGAATTTATAGCAACTGGTCGCTTAGATTCGAAATAATGATTTATTACAGAAAAAGCTTGTTTGCGACATATTTGTAAAGAAACAGCGGAAATAGCTTTGACTCGTGCGCTATTCTAGTTCATTTTTGGTAGAAAACTTCGTCCAACCTTATGTTTTAGGGCCTTGGAGTAGGGGAGGCCCGGGAGGTATGGGCCGGTTTTGTGAAAAGTCAATTTTCTTCCAGTGGGCAGTGGCTAGACCCGGTTTTTCACTTTGTATACGTAAAATTGCCTTTTGCCTGCAAATTGTGCCTGATATTAGGCATCTGGGATCAACTGTTTTGTCTCAAGATAACTTTCAACAAACCATGCGCCCTTTCGATCCATCAAAATACACCGGGAGGTATGGGCCATTGCCCGGGAGGTATGGGCTAGTGATGTCAATTACAGGAAATCGGAATACCGATACCAAACCAAATACCAACCAAAACCATCAGGAAATACTGAAACCGAACCAACTTGAGAAGATGAGGAAAATACCAACCTTTTACCGATTTTTCAACCTTGTATACATTAGCAAGGGTTCATAATACCAACAAAATACCAAAAACAATCGGATTGAAATACCAAATACCAACTTGGTATCGGTTTGGTATCGGTATACCAAAAAGTTCGTATCCGATTGACATCACTAGTATG